TCGGTAGTGCCGCACTATTTTTAGAAAAGGAAATCTATTGTACAAAATCCAATTACTAATGTAAGGGTATGGAGAACCTGCCTCTATTCATAACAAAATAAATTATTTTTATCGGAATTAGACCGTAACTGTCTCGGTGAGCAATGTACATATTATTATATATTTCGGGATTCGATTACCATATTTCTCAGTCAAATATATGAATTACATTTAAATCATTTGAAAAAGGGCAAATTAGTTAAATTATGAATATTAGGTAAATACTGAATATTATATTAGATGTCTTAACATCCAACAACCTATTAATTAGTAACAATTGACAAAAACATTCTTTTTTTTTATTGCTTAGATGGTTGGACGAGCTCACAGCCCACCTGGTGTTAAGTGGTTACTGGAGCCTGTAGACATCCACAACGTAAATGCGCCACCCACCTTGAGATATAAGTTCTAAGGTCTCAAGTATAGTTACAGCGGCTGCCCCATCCTTCAAACCGAAACGCATTACTGCTTCACGGCAGAAATAGGCAGAGTGGTGGTACCCACCCGCGCGGACTCACAAGAGGCCCTAACACCAGTAATTACGCAAATTATAATTTTGCGGGTTTCATTTTTATTACACGAAGTTATTCCTTCACCGTGGAAATCAATCGTGAACATTTGTTGAGTATGTATTTCATTACAAAAATTGGTACCCGCCTGAGATTCGAACACCGGTGCATCGCACAACACGAATGCACCAGACGTCTTACCCGTTAGTCCACGACGACTTCAACGTTCAAATCCATACTGCAAGGAAATTTTAAAGCTGGGTTCAACGTGGGTTGTTATTGCTTGCACGCCACCTAATGTACCATAGTATTCCAATGTCAGAAGGCATTTTATATAAAAAAATCTCAGTATATAAAATTTTATATTACCTAATATCGTATAAAAAATTATTCAAATTGAACTGAATCCACATAGAATCTTTTTCAGTATACATTAAATTTAAAAATTTAAGCAAGTAGGTGCCTAATGATTTTGACATTATAAGCTACTGCATTTATTAAAAAAAATACACAATCAAGTCAACATATATTTCTAAAACAAAGAGCAAAGGAAACATTTGAATATTAAAACACGCAAGCTATTTAATGAAACACTTTTATGTTGAACCACCACCCGCAGACACTCTAGAGAGTTGTGACCGCACGAGAACGCCCGCAGCTGCGCGTCCTGTGAAGCTGTGATCATTAACTTAACTCGCACTGTCTCAATACATACTCGTATTAGAAAGTACGAAATGACAGATAATGCTAGTCATATCCCCACTTTAAATCTTCTTCTTCTTCTATATTATTATTATTATCTTTAAATATAAAAATGAATTGCTGTTCGTTAGTCTCGCTAAAACTCGAGAACGGCTGGACCGATTTGGCTAATTTTGGTCTTGAATTATTTGTGGAAGTCCAGAGAAGGTTTAAAAGGTTTAAATAAATATGAAAATGCTCGGAATTAAAAAAAAAACATATCGGCCCCCACAGACACAGAACTCAGACAGGGCAAATGGTCCAGTTGCACCGCAATAGAAATTTTCCACGTCGCACCCTAATACTCTGCTGTCTTGGTTAGTTATATAAAATGTTTTGTCTTGGTGGGCTATATACCAGCGTGAGGTACACTGTAGACAGTGTCTCCATAGTCCTCTCCGGGATACCTCACTACGAAAGGCGGCATATACAGCAGAAGCGACTATTCGTTTTCTTTTTAGCTGTTAACTTTATACCAGAGCGGTCGTAATAGTAGTAATCCGTAGAATATATTAGTAATAATTGGAGGATCGACGTACCTCGTATATGTCAATAGTTAACAAAGCGATGCAGACCAACACTACGCAGTTGCAGTTTTAAAGTGGACTAGCAAGTAACAATACTCTAAAGATTTAAAATTAAAATAGGTATATACATACCTACATGTATGATGGTAGCCATCACAGAACGCAAGATATTTGAAAGATGCCTAAATCTCGCTTACGACATTTTCAAGATAAGCTTGCATATATACAAGTTCCGAGCAAATATCATCCGCTCGGTGGAAGATCTTCCCTTTGTCGTATATCTCTCCAAACTGGTGACCTGCGACGGAACAATTGCAACCTTCACACTTCATCATCAGCGCATCAAGAACTTCGGCTACCACAATTCCTGCATTCTCGCAGATAAAAGCAACTCATTGACAGTCGTCCCACAGCAAGCCAGCATCGCAGCCTCATCAGGACGATCGCAGCCGACTCACCGCACTTCCTGGTCCTTCGGCACGCACCTACACTGCCTCATCACGCAGCATTCAAGCTCTTTTCGATATCGAGTCGAGGGAACCCGCTCCTCCCCGCGACCTCTCACAGCTGGAGTCCCGCAAGGCTCTGTCCTCTCCCCCCTCCTATTTAGCTTATTCGTCAACGATATTCCCCGGTCGCCGCCGACCCAGTTAGCTTTATTCGCCGACGACACGACTGTTTACTATTCCAGTAGAAACAAGTCCCTAATCGCGAAGAAGCTTCAAAGCGCAGCCCTAGCCCTAGGGCAGTGGTTCCGAAAATGGCGCATAGACATCAACCCAGCGAAAAGTACTGCGAAATCCGTGTGGAGCTTCCCCTCTGAAATATCAGAGGGGAAGCTCCACACGGATTTCCTCCCGGATTAGGAGGAGGAATCTCACACCCCTGATTACTCTCTTTAGACAACCCATACCTTGGGCCAGGAAGGTCAAGTACCTGGGCGTTACCCTGGATGCATCGATGACATTCCGCCCGCATATAAAATCAGTCCGTGACCGTGCCGCGTTTATTCTCGGTAGTCTCTACCCCATGATCTGTAAGCGGAGTAAAATGTCCCTTCGGAACAAGGTGACACTTTACAAAACTTGCATAAGGCCCGTCATGACTTACGCGAGTGTGGTGTTCGCTCACGCGGCCCGCACACACATAGACACCCTTCAATCTCTACAATCCCGCTTTTGCAGGTTAGCCGTCGGAGCTCCGTGGTTCGTGAGGAACGTTGACCTACACGACGACCTGGGCCTCGAATCTATACAGAAATACATGAAGTCAGCGTCGGAACGGTACTTCGATAAGGCTATGCGTCATGATAATCGCCTTATCGTTGCCGCCGCTGACTACTCCCCGAATCCTGATCACGCAGGAGCCAGTCACCGTCGACGCCCTAGACACGTCCTTACGGATCCATCAGATCCAATAACCTTTGCATTAGACGCCTTCAGCTCTAACACTAGGAGCAGGCTTAGGGACCTCGGTAACCGTACTCGTCGAACTCGACAAAGAGTTCGCCGTGCAACCTAACCCATGAATCAGCTCGCTGAGTTTCTCGCCGGATCTTCTCAGCGGGTCGCGATTCCGATCCGGTAGTAGATTCATTCGCGAAGCAGCTACTCTTGAGCTGTTAGGTCTCCTTCGGAGGCGCTCGGGTAGCTGTTAGCAAATCCCACCCCTCCTGGCTGAGCCTTTGCTCGCCCACCTGTCCTGTTGAAACTGGAAAGGCCTCCGGGCCACCAGTAATCTTTCAATCATAAAAAAAAAAGCATTCAAGCTCAGTCTCGACTCACCGCAGACTTCAAGCAGCACTGGCACTTGCAAGCTAATCTCAACACGGACAACGCTAACTAAATGACACGACCTCCAGTCTCGGAGGGGAGTGGTGTGGCGGTAGCCATCACAGAACACAAGATATTTGACAGATGCCTAAATCTCGCTTACGACATTTTCAAGATAAGCTTGCATATATACAAGTTCCGAACAACAACATCCGGACCGTCGGTCTACCGACGGTGGAAGATCCGCTCGGTGGAAGATCTTCCCTTTGTCGTTTAAGCCTCCTCAAACATGGTTTAGTTTTAGCTATGGAGGGTACAGGTAAGGAAAACTGTATCTGTGTGTGAAAAAGTGTCCGTTAAAATCTGCTAAATAAGGGTGGCGCTACAGTAACAACCGGGTAAATTTTAAAAAAGGCGCTGAAAGTTATTAGAATAAAATAGATAAATAAAAAAAGACAATAGAACTGTAAGCACTACAAAATCACAAAAAGTATTTTATTTAAAGCTGATAAGAAAATGCAATCGATGTCTCCACGTTCTACCACAGCAATAATTCTAGGTTTTATTGACGAAATTAATTTGGTAGTAAACATCTGAGGTCTATATTACAGTGTCACTAACTACAACTTTTTCAAAATTTCCCATATGAGATAGTTCTCCTTACCTCTACCCTCCATAGTTTTGGCAGCCTTTTTAGATTTTCCACAGATTAAATCTTGTTTTTATTTATTTAAGAGATTTTACGACCTATAACTAAAACCTTTCATAAACCCAGTCATGTCTTATTTTAATTTAATATTCTTATTTTTATGAAAAATGATAACATGGAGTGAAATGAAATAAAGATGATTCATTTGAGACATTAATCAACTAGGATGAAATTAAATGAAATGAGATAAGATGATATGCGATGAAATATAATCTCAGTAAAATGGTGGTCATTTACTGAGATTTTTTAAGTAGACTTTTTGGAGGATCCCGAGAAGTTACGTCCAGCGGTTTTGTTTCATTTTCCTACATTTGTGCACTTTCACAGATATTAAACAGTTAATAAACCACCTTATTACACATTTAAACCTGAAGAAACACCAAATAGACAAAATAAAACAAATCACACAACTTCACTCCTCGCGCTCCCGCCAAAAAGTCCTATATCTTGGTTGTTAGTAAAAGTTGGTAGTGACTGCACCTAGCTGTAACTACAATATGCCACAGTAGATGGAAACAAAACTAACATCGTGTACGAATTGATGTACCTTTGTTACATTAGAATTTCTTCGGGTTTAATCATATTAATTTATTACTTAGTTAATATTGGCGAGGTAAAAAACCGATTACCATATTGAAAAAAGAAAATGGCTAAAAAGTTGAGTTGCCAAAGAATTATCTAATACAAAATTAGGTTATGTTGACATGTGGAACTGTATTGCAGAGTAGATTTTCCTAAACACATTATTATCACTAATTACGCCGCTTACAACAAAAAATACGTAGTTAAAGACTATATATATTGGAATTTCAAGGAATTACGCTCTGTATCTAATTACTATTTTAGATAAATTCCCATTTTAAATTAACATTTAAGTTTTGTACATTCATTAACGCATGTTCAACTTTCTTGTATTTGTACTTATTAATGAAAATGGTGTCTGTGGAGATAAAGGTAAAGAAAGAAAAGAAAACCAAAGTATTTGCAGGGAGCAAAGTTGTCAAGCATAAGAAAAATAAACCTAAGAAATCTGTAGCTGAAAAAGCATTAAAACCGAAAAATTATGTACAAAATCCAACTCCGGCACCAATTATAAAGAAAAAGAAAAAGTATATTATGCCAACGAAGAGTGTGACAAACGACGTGGTAAATTCTTGTTTAACTGCTATCCTGCAATTATCCATACTCCATAAGAAAAAAAATACTATCCTTGATGATGAGTCACCAATATTTTGTGAGATATCCTGCATCAAGATACAAAGTGTTCAAACTAATATTAAATTGTAAGTAATGCCATGTTTACCTACCCAATCGCTTACCTAGCTTCAATCCTTATTATAAAAGAGCTTGAAATTTAAAAACAGAATAAGATTTGATACGAAAATCAGGTGATGATACCACCACTTAAAATGCAGATTAGAAAGTTTGTAGTAACCTCTTGAAGCAGTGAGCATTTCTGAGCCTTCTGATTTAAATGTAATACAATAAAAAATTGACATATTTATTAAATGGGAGATAGTTTTATTTTAAAAACAGCTCTTTGTATTGCTTTGCTAAAAAAATGAACACAGTGTAAGTAAACTAATGTAATATATGTTCCTTGCCTAGTGTGCTACCTAATAGCACTGCAGCATCAACAGGTGAAATATGTTTAATAGTTCCTGATATGAAAAAAGGAAGAAGGTTTGATCATGAGCCAACAATTGATCACTGGGAAGAATTATTAAGGAAATCTGGCGTAACACAGGTAAAATGCATACCTATTTTTAGTCTTAATTTAAAAATAATTTTGTAGTAGGCCATTAACTTTCAATTTATCTAATACATATTTTAAAATCAAAACTTGACTTACAAATGTGAAAATAAAATTTGGTGCAGTCATGGCTTAGGATAAGGGTCTCGGTGTACTCATATTGAGAGATTCAAATATTCTTGTTTTTAAATCCCACAAGTAAATGTCAATATTTCTGCTGTAATATATACGAACACATGTTCATTTCCACAATACATAAAATAAGTACCAAACCCAAATTTGGAGTTACTAGTCTTGTTAGTCTTTCATCAAGTCTTTTGCGGTAATACAGTTTGATGAGGAGAACCAACATACAACATATTGAGATTTAAACTTCATGCTTAAGGTGAATGGTGATATCTGAGTTCTGGTAGCCACTTAACCTCAGATGTGAGCACATTCACAAAAAATATTATAAAACTATGATGCAAATTGTACGTATTTTTACAATCATGGCTAACTTTTGTAATATTACAGGTAAAAACAATACTTCCACTAAGGCAAGTAAAGGTAGAATATGATCAGTTTGAGTTAAAACGTAAATTATTAACTCAACATGACTTTATCATGGTCGACACCAGAATATTGAGCCATGCATCACATTTGCTTGGAAAAATGTTTTTCAAGAAACATAATATGTTAATACCAGTAAGACTGCATGGCCAACGTGACCTTAAGAAAGCCATTGAAGTTGGTTTACGCACTGTAGTTCTCCGTTTAAATATTGGAATAACATCAACCATTCTTCTTGGTCATACTGGTATGCCACTGGATACATTACAAGAAAATGTCATTTCTTTTGTTGATCAATTGAGAACTAGATATCCAGGGGGTGAAGCCAATATAAGATCTCTTGCACTATGTATTCCGATGTCTATAGCTGTGCCACTATATCTCACTTTAAGTAAGTAATATTAAATTTTATTTTTATGAACAGTTCTCTATTAGGTTGAAGGAACTGGATTCTTCCACTTCTTATGGCTGTCCCATTAATGATTAAATTAAAATATTTGAGATAGCTATTAAATTTACAATTTTCACTCTACTTAATAGCAAATGAGCTGTGCGAATTCCAATCATTTAGTGTATAATAAACATATATATGTATACAGATAGACTGGTCCTATGGATTTTTTTAAATGATGACGTCAGCGTTACGGATGCCATTCTCTTCATCATTTACTTCGTCATTTATCATTACCTTCCATAGTGACAATAATTAAGACTTAATTTTCCAATTAATTCCATTCATTCCCTTTCAAGTGTACAACGATAAAAACAGAGAGCTCCGCCTTGATCGGCTGTTTGTGTCGATCGAATGTTTTGTACTTTTTTTTTCTACTTAAGCTGATGGTCTACCATAGAGACCATATCAGCGTAACCTTAACTAGTAGGTGAGCTCACGGGGCTCAAACCTGACGACGTTGCTAACACAAACCCCAGCAAGAGCCGTGCTTCGCAGAATCTACCACCGGATCGAAAACGCGTTCCACTGAGGGGATCCGGCGAGAAACTCAGTTGGGCTGTGTCTGAGGGTTAATTTACTCGCCGAGCCCTTTGTCGCAAGCGACGGGTTTGACGAGAACGAAGACCGGTGCTTGTAGTACCTAAAAGCACCGTTAGTGGATCGGGAGGATCCGAAATGACGTGTTTTGGGCGACGTCGAATGTTTATCATTTGATCCGCAGGATCAGCTATGTAGTTTCTGGTTGCCACGATGAGAGGTTCTCGTATCGTGCCGGTTTATCGAAGTGGCGCATTGATGCCAACTGTAGATACTTACTGATGGACTCTAGGTCCAGGTACAAAATTATAATTTGCGTAATTGCTGGTGGTAGGATGTCTTGTGAGCCCGCGTCGGTAGGTACCACCACCCTGCCTATTTCTGCCATCTAGGAATAGTGCGTTTTAGTTTAAAAGGTGGGGCAGCCAGTGCACTGTACTAAGCCGCGTCCTCGTTGCAAAAATAGGACCGGAATTGTTTGCTTACGATGCTTGGCAGTGATGAGCCCTGGCAGGCGATGCTCCACTTTTACGAGTCCACCATCTCGCAGGAGGCGGTGGAACGGGAGAGGGAGAGCTCTTCTTTCCTCTCGGCGCCGTGCCACCGCCGCCGACCTCGGGGTCGGAGGAGGGCGTTTATCCAGCTCCGGCCCCTGTGAAGAGGAAGTCTCCTCCCGGTGATGGTCACAGGGCGACCTGAGGGAGTTGAGGCTGCGTCGCATGCTACCGTCACTCTAGCGCGCTGGCACCAAGAGGACGGGACGACGCATCGGCAGCTGCGGCCTGCGATGCGGTCCGCATTTTCGTCGGCGGTGTATCGCGTTCCGACCCCGCAGGCTGGTTCTGGCCCAGCGGGGTATCGCGGAACACCAGCGGCATCGCCCGGGCGGCCTGTTAGGGCAGTCGTACCGTGGAGACCGGCGTCGTTGGTCGTCGATTATCGTCTCAACGACCCGTCGGTCAGACGTTCTCGGGGTTGCGCCGCATGTCTGGTTGTAGTGTTGACCGCGGGAACCTCCCTACTCTGACCGGGTTCTGACCCAAAACGGAGATCGGACGTCGGGTGTAAGAGTGTAGGGGAATCGCGTTTAGTGCGGTAGGGCCCTAAAATTTCTAGGGCCTGCGGTCTGCTACCAACACTTGCAGATCGTCATGTCCCACATACCCAAAAAAATGTCAACATCAATCTAAACAACTCAATGCTAACGTATTACATTAAATTAAATTGTTTAAATATATTACAGGATCATCAAACACAGTTAATGCTCCCAAAATCAAAAAGAATAAACCAAAAACTTTCAACACAATAGAGGATGAATTGTCAACAATTCCAGGTAGCAAAGTGACTGTTGCACCAGACGGGACAGTACATGTTATAAAACCCAACACTCAAAAGAGGTACAGTTTACTTATAATAAAGAATACAAAAAAAAGGTATGATACTTCACAAACTAGGACTATTTTTACTATAGCAGCTAATCTCACCTAGTTCTAATAAGTTTATTTAGGATACAAGCAGATACCATGAATGCATCTGGCCCCCTATTACGCATTGCTGTAAATGGCAATAAAAACCCATATCTACTTAGTGCTTAGTGATTATGGAATCCTATATATATATATTACAATTTGAATCCCATTCCACCTTGAAAAAAGGTTGAAGTCTAAAATTTCTCTGTCTGGAATTAAAGGTATGGCTAGGTAGTAAATAATGAAGGACGCTTATTCTTTGGATGAATAATAAAAAAAAACAATTCTTGATGTAGAGCTGATCTTTGCGCTCATTAATGAGGAACTTCTTTAGTATATTGTTGTGCCTTGGTGTGTTGTCTAATCAATTTGTGCATCTATTCCTAGGATGGGAGGCTAAATAAAATTATAATATATGGCTTCCATGATAAAGCCTTTGCAAGCTCAACTGATTTATCAGTCTCAGGAACACCTTTGTTCCTTTATTCATTAGACCAAAACGCCTTGGATTGCCAGCTTATCTGATGCATCATTGACTCATGAACATTTTTGTCCAATATTCATTGGAAAGTAGAGCTAATTCAATAGCTAACTCCAAAGCTTCTTTCACAGTAAATAACTATATTGCTTTTCTTTTAATTTATAATGCTATATTTCAGTAACTGGCACTGTAAATTATTTAGTTGTCTTTGGTTCATTAAAAACAATATCTCTTAAAAAAAAATTAATACATTGATGGCTAAACTGTTTTTTTGCTAATTTTAATTTTTTCTACTAGGAAAATAAATACTGTAATTAAGGAAGATGAAGAAATTGAATCTGAAAATGAATACAGTGAAGACAAAGATGCAGCAGAAGATGACCAATCTGAATAAAGACTTAACAAAATAAAATTAAATAATATTGAATGTGACTTTATTTTGCTTAACAACATATAAAACATTTACAATGATATCCATAATATAGATTTAATCAATTCTTAATGGCTTAGGTATCAGTTATTGTCCTGGGTATAAACCATAGAATTTACTTCATCGTTCAATTGTTTGTCTTTTTCTATTTTTGGTACAACAGTGACCATCATTTTCACCGGCCAAACCTTCTTAAATTTTTTGAAATTTTTTACTAATGATACTGGTTCCTGCATTTCTACGGGTTCTTTTTTTATTATCAATTCACTTTTTACAGTAACAACAGTGGTTCCCAAGTCAAGATCATTCATTTTTTGATTTAGGTCATCACTTATTTCTTTTTTAATCCAATGCTGTACCTCTGAATATGGCTTTGTATAATTTTTTAATTCTTCAAGTTTCTTTCCTCTCATAGCAATTATTTCCTCTGTTGTTATAGTTTTCTTGACATTTGAAATAGACACTGTGGAGTTTCCTTCATCGCCTTTATCTTCATATCTACACAGTTTTGATGCATTCTCTTTTGCATTATCATTAAATTTTATAAAATTGAATAAATCATCGTCTGTATCAGCATCAGCTTTTCGTTTCATTGGTTTGGATAGATTTAGTTTTTTTTCTGATGTTTTGCTGTTATTTTTATTGGTAGGATTTACAAAGTTGAATAGCTCATTTTCAGATGAATTCATTTCCATGGCTAGTTTCTTGGGAGGATTCTGTACATCATCAAATTCTTGATGTTCAGTTTTTCTTTTGTTACAGTTATCATTTTCAATGTTGTTAGTCCCAGAAGCAAATTTCTTGTTGCTTTGGGTATAACTGCTTACTTCACTTAACTTTCTCTTAAAACTATTTGTGACTTCTAATGTTTCATTGAGAAGTACTTGTTCTTCTTTGTTTATATTTGTTATTTCTTGAGACTCTGGTGCCAAAATGTTAGTAATCTTATTTTGATCTGTTTGTTTAAGTATTTCATTAGAAATATTGAAGTCAGGATTGCAATATTTATTTAAAGAACAATAAAGTATGGCTAATCCAATTTCTGCATCAGGAATTACTCTTTTACCCTTGCTTTTTAAATATGAAATGATTTCTAACATCTGGTTTTTTTGAGCTTGTGTTTCTTGACTTGTACTTGATATATTATATTGTATGACTATGAAATCTGGCTCACAGAGTGAAGCTTTTGTTAGTTTTGACTCGCTCAACAACAAAGGTTCTGCAGAACTTTTAACTAGGACTTTTTTATACGTCTCAAACTGTCGTTTAGAAAAGAAAACACACTTTATTCCCAAAAATAAACTCTTTCTTTTATCATTAGGCAAAAATGAAACAATTTCTCTGTTCAATGTTGTTTCTATAATTTCAGGAGTAAATAATTGAGGGTCTGGTGGAATTGAAAGGTTATGTATAGATTCAAGGCATTTGTTCCAAAACTCAGTGGTTACTATATACGATCCTTGAACTAGTGCAAAAACAACTTTTATAGTTAAAGTCAATTCTGGCATGGTTAAATAACCACAACTATCATCCCATTCATTTTTTAGTTGCCCTCCTATTTTATCCAGAATAGATTTGAGGTGGAGAAGATTTTCTTTTTTAAATGTTGATGTACATGTTACCAGCTCAAGATTGTAAACCCGCCAAATGCAATTAAGCTTTCCCAATTTCACAATATCATCAGATTTGAGTTGAACTTTAGTAGTCAGTTTTTCGGTGCAATCATTAATGAACGTACCATACTTGGAATCCAAATCTTGCACAAATAAACAATTATTTGAAGACAGCGTTAAAGAAGCATGTCGCCTGCTCAGCGACGAATCATCAATTATAGGAAAGCTACATATCTGTTTATCAGGACTTCGGCCTATAATCACTTCCCTTTTTTCAGGGGTAATGTACAATACTCTTTCGTCATTCTCGGCTCTTAAGTACCACATCTTTAGAACTTGAAATCAGATCGTTTGTAGATTTATCAACACAAATTACAAACAGCAGTAAATAGCTACGCTTTTACCATAGACAGTAGTAGTAGTTTTATTTTTCCAAATGGAAAGGCAAAGGTATCCCACCATACAGCCTAGTGTTTTATAGATTTTTTTATGAAATATGATATTATGAAATGAAATTAAGCTGATTAATTTAATATAAAACATGGCATGGCATGAAATGAATTGAAATGAGATGAGATGATAATTATGATATGGGTATTTTTATGAAAAATTATGAAATGGAGTGAAATGAAGAATTTGAGACATTAATCAACTGGGATGAAATTAAGTTAAATAAAATGATATGATATGGGATGAAATATAATCTCAGTGGTCAAATCAAAATGGTAATCAAAATGGTGGTCGTTTATTGAGATTTTTTCAATGGACTTTTTGGAGGATCCCGAGAAGTTACGTCGAACGGCTTTGTTTCATTTTCCTACATTCGTGCACTTTCACAGATATTAAACATTTAATAAACCACCATTATTACACATTTAAACCCGAAGAAACACTAAATAGACAAATTAAAACAAATCACACAACTTCACTCCTCGCGTTCCCGCCAAACAGTCCTTTACCATAGACTTTTTTTTTTTGTACAATTTTTCCTTGTTAGGAAAGGCAAGGGGATCTAAGCCCATACATCCTTGTCTGCTCTATATATTTTCTGTTTACCATAGACAATTTATTTTTACGATTTTTTTATATTTTTTTGATGCTATAAGACCTGGTAACAGGAACATTGAGCTATAGTAGTTTTTTCATTATAGTAGTCAAAGGGAACATAAAACAAAGCCAGTTCTTTTGTAATATATAGATAAAATTTTTGAAGTGAATACTTCTCTAATAACGTTGAACACTTTGGTAAGGAAAAGTTTTATGAAGTCGCGTACTAAAGTTACGTATAACAACACATCGTATATGACGTATTTTTGGAAATCTAAAATTTTCTGAGGTGGCATCACCGACATGCTTATTAGCAATATATCTGTAGCTATAGAGATGAAGTATTGTGCATCATTAGTGCTGTGCTTATCACAGCCCTACTGGTATTAAATGGTTACTGGAGCCCATAGACGTTTACAACGTCTGGTGTAGTGGTAAGTGACATGGTCACTACACAAGGGGATCGCGGGTTCGAATCCCGCCAAGGGAAGATATTTGTATGATAAATATAAATGTCTTTTTCAGGGTTATTGATGTATATTAAATATATGTATGTGTATAACAAAAATCGTACATTTATATCCGTTATCTGGTACCTGTAACACAGGTTATTTACGAGCTTAGCACGGGACCAGTTAACGTGGCGTGATTGTTAGTAACTATTTATTTATTTATTTAAAACGTAAATGCGCCTCCCGCCTTGAGGTATAAGTTCTAAGGTCTTAGAATAGTTATAACGGCTGCCCCACCCTTCAAACCGAAAGGCATTACTGCTTTACGGCAGAAATAGGTAGGATGGTGGTACCTACCCGTGCGGACTCACATGAGGTCCTACCACCAGTAATTACGCAAATTATAATTTTGCGGTTTTGTTTTTTATTACACGATGTTATCCTTCACCGTGGAAGTCAATCGTGAACATTTGTTAAGTACGTATTTCATTAGAAAAATTGGTATCCGCCTGCAGGATACGAACACCGTTGCATCGCTATATACGAATGCACTGGATGTCTTATCCTTTAGACCACGACGATTTCAAAAATTTTTGGAGGATCCCGAGAAGCTACGTCCAGCGACTTTGTTTTTTTCCCACATCTGTGCATTTTCACAGATAGTAAACAATTAACAAACTACCGTTATTACACATTTAAACCTGAAGAAACACTAAATAAATAAAATAAAACAAATCACACATCTTATAATATTTATATATTATTATTATTTATTATATGTAACTACATATATTATATTAGGTTAAAAAAGATTAGGCTGTATGGTATTATACCTTTGCCTGTCCAGCTGGAAAACTAAAACTACTACTATTTTGTAGGTATAGGGATGTTCCGATACCATCAAAGTATCGATACCTACTCATTTCGATAGTACTCAAATCTTTATTCGATACTCCTAAAGTATCGATACTTACTGATATCGATGCTTTTAGCACTTTTTTTTCTGCTATCGTAAAAACAATTAACGTTGAAGGACAATAATTAAAACAAAATTGAGAATGAAAAGAAATCTTTTATTATAAACGTTTTGCGTCACTTCAAGTACCTACTTTAAACAAAAAACTCTTTGGCATCAAGATTGCCCAAAAACAGTAACTGTTCGAGGTATGTTGGAGACAATATGTTCCTTGTTTGAGACATTATTGCACTGGCTTTGGAAAAAAGGCACTCGCCTGGCACGAGAGTGGAGACACGACGCGTCATCAACGCCACGCCGTTGCCACCACGCGATGGATGAATACCGGTAACCGAGCGAGAGGGCTTTTGCTCTCTCGTTCTGTATGATGCGCTCGGAAATTTTAAAGTTTTTTAAGGGTAATGCTGATTCGATTTGATACAAAGTACTTTTGTTTCGATACCGAGTATGTATCGCAAGATTGATTCGATACTATAAATACTTGGTATCGAATCAAAAGTATCGAGTACCTACTCGTATTTACTAGTATCGGAATATCCCTATGTAGGTAGTGTACCGTAAAATGGGGCGATTAGGGACAAATTCCAACTTTATGACCAATTTTAAAGTAGTTGTTGATGTATATAATGCTATATCAGGATCAAAATGATTGAGTCTTGGGGGCATCTTTGTTGTCTAATTTAAAATTATGCAACTAACATTCCAGTTTAAGCAAAAAATGCAAAAATAGGTGTAATCCCTATTTACCCGAAAATTGCGGTTAATTGGGACGAAATGAGAAATTTGCTAGGGTTGGCACTACTTTTATTTTTATATATAGTTTTAATTTATTTATTTATTTAGTTGCACCAACAAAGTGATCATCAATAAAAAAAATTGAAAAACTGACAAAAGTACATGGCAAACATCACCTCAATTATAGGTGCAATCGACAGTGCATTAACAACAATATATATACTTATTTATACATATATAGTGGGCTTTCTTAGAAACGGTTTATATTTCTCCGTTCTTGGTAAGTACTTAGGGGCTGATTTTTCTATCTGGGTTAATAGATTAGGTGTGTCGGTTATTCCATGGATTAATCAGATGAATACCCCCACTCTGAACAAATATAAAATATTTTCTTGTTACATGTCTCTGCAAAATCGACTTACTTATATTAAATTGATTATCTATTTCAACTAAAGACTTATTCCCAATTTCGCTTCGAATAAACCAAATTTTTACCAACAAATTTAAAAAATATTGTTATAACTCCATAGACAACCCTACAAACCTGTACCTATTTATACTTAGGTCGTTTCCATATCACGTATTCTCATCCCAATTGACCCCTTTTTCGTTGTTATTTATACCTAAGACGTCCAATATCCTCAAAAACAACAGATTTTTACATGTATTTTTATTTAATCAAATACATTAAAACCAATAACAACTGAGACTTACCTTTAATATATATGCTGGTTCAAACACTAAATAACGTTTATAAATCATAGTCGTCTTCTATTAATATCAAATAGCAAATAGAGAGCAAAGTTTCTAGCACTAAAATAATTACCACCACAGGAAGTTAATTTGAAACGCGATTTTTTATAAGTTAGCAGCTATTATCATACATATTCAGAGTTGTTTTGTGAACTTTCAACATTCTACTATTAAACTACAAAAAATGGAAGATTTTGCAACGAATATAAAACATATATTGAGCGTCGAAAGATTTTCCCGGTTTTTTCCCGATTCGCCTCTCAATCCCTAATCGCCCCATTTTACCGGTACGTACGTACCTACAAACATTTGACAAGCATCAACAACTTTCAATCAATGTAAACAGATATAAATACCTTTAGTTACTAAACACAATAGTTAATTTCATATGAGAGAGAATAAAAAAAATTGTTATTTAGATGTGAAACGCCAATAAAATACAGATCAAGAACATCACTAACATAATATTATTATATTAATAATATACTCAATGTAAATCTAAATGCTGTAAAAATCACTAAATATTCCTGAAAATATACATACAATACGATAAATTTAAAAAGATAATATATTCTTTACACAGCACAGCATGCTTATGATGTAAACATTAAACCAACATATCGATTGTACCTCTATTTATTTTGATACAAAACACAAAATAATTTTGGATGAAATTTTAACTTTAGTGAACTAGGCAAAAACAAATCTGTAGATGGCGTGAAGTAGAAAAAATTCAGTGACCAGAAATCAGTAAAAGAAATAATATCGACTCTCATTATGACTCTATACATAGATACTAAACTTAGTTTTTCTGATGAGAATGTGGTGTCAACTGTGGCTGCCTGGCACCCTTCATTGCCATTTTTGGCTATTGGATCTTACAATCAAGAAAAAGGTGGTTTTGCTACAATTTTCCAAGAAAACGTAAGTTTAAGAAAAATCAATTGAAGATGAAACCTATTCCATACCATCTCTGATTATTTATTTGAATTAAAAAAAAAATAGTTTGCACCATGCATTATTACATCCATGTTATATTATAAAATTAAAAAATCTTGTATTTTTTTAAAAGAAACCTAGTACAAAACGTTCCATTATTCTTATTGAAAAAGTTGTATTAACATACAAAATTAAATTAAGTCCTATATTAAATATTCATAAAAGTTAATTGATTGTTTTAACCCTTTTCTTTCTCTTTAACACTGGAGAACCCGTTTACGGATACCTGGTCGAGGGGGCGAATAGACTGGTGGCTATGTTGAACTCCAGTGCCAATTTGTTTCATTATTTATTATATCAAAATTGTTTCAACTCTGCCAGGACCAGTTAGTAAGTCATGACTCAATATTCAATTTATCATTATACAATTTCAGGGTTTACCTTTAGAGGGTTGTGAATGGCCCATTTTGTCATCTAATCAAGTGACTGCTCTTGC